GTGTTTCATGAAAGAAACCAGCCTCCTATAAATATATCAGTGATCATGGAATGAGTCATGGAATCATGGAATGGTTTGGGTTGGAAGGGAAATTGAGGATCATCTTGTTCCACCCCCTGCCATGGGCAGGGACACCTTCCACCAGCCCAGGTTGCTCCAAGCCCTGTCCAACCTGACCTTGGACACTTCCAGGGATCCAGGGGCAGCCACAGCTTCTCTGGGCAACCTGGGCCAGGGCCTCCCCACCCTCCCTGCCAGCAATTCCTTCCCAATATCCCATCTCTCCCTGCCCTCTGGCAGTGGGAAGCCATTCCCTGTGTCCTGTCCCTCCATCCCTTGTCCCCAGTCCCTCTCCAGCTCTGCTGGAGCTCCTTTAGGCCCTGGAAGGGGCTCTCAGCTCTCCCTGGATCCTTCTCTTGTCCAGGTGAACCCCCTCAGCTCTCCCAGCCTGTGTCCATGTTACAGAGGGAATAAATGACACGTTCACCAACGTCCCTTGGTCTCAGTTTAAGTTCAGAGAAGGAGGGAGGGGAGAGGGTGGTGCTGCTAAAACCTTGCCTTGGAGCACATGTGGAGGTCTGGGAGGGGACAAAACCCAAACCTTAATGCAAACAGGTGCCTGAACACTTCAAAATAATTTCTACCCCAGCCACACAAGTGTCTGTGAAACCCCTTTCCTGGCTCAGCTCTGGGACACCCCTTGGGAGAAGTTTGGCTGCCAGGAACAGCTCATGGGGAGCTGCAGACAGTGAGGGTTTGGGCAATAACTTCAACCCTTAATTACAGAGCTGACACTGCTGGTTTATCTTCTCAAAGAATTGAAAGCCTGGCTGTCCCCGGGGGCTCCAGGAGCTGTTAGACATTCCCAGTCCTGGCTGGGATCAATGGCAGCAACCCATTCATGCACAAAGAGGGCTGGGAGGGAGGCAGGGGAGCACCTCTAATGATCCCTCTAATGAGCATTAATATGGGCTCCTGTTGAAGAGGGGAGTCCAGCTGGACACGAAGATTTTTAGGGAGCACCCTTTCATTCAGGGCTGGGAGCCCCATTCCCAGCTGTGCTGCAGGATCCAGGATCACTCCATGGCTACTTCTTACCATATAATTATAAATATTAAGGCGAATCACGAAGCTGTAACTGGCTCTTAGAGTGAAGTTTGATTTTTTTTTTTACCTGCAAATGAACTGCAGGATCTTATTTCCCTTATTAGAGCTGAACTGCTTTAAAAAAATCAATGTGAATTTTGCCTGAATGTGAGGTTGGAATAAACCTCCCTCCACCCACGTGTGCGTCTGAGCTGCCAAAGTGCACCTTGTCCTCACCCTTCAGACAGTGTTTGATCATTATTACCCGAAAGATGTGGAAAACAGACAATTAAAACTGTACAGCCACCCAGAGCAATTAGGCTGAGAGCACTCCCAGGGTTATCTGACAGCAATTACAGGTGCTGGAGTGGTTTTTAAGGAGTGTCTCCCGTCTGAAATATGGAATAAACCACTCCAGTGGGTGTTGGGGAGCGACTGAGGCAGCTTTTGGTTCCTGTCCTGGAGGATTAGCAGCAGTTTTGGGGTGAGAGGGTGAAATCCATAACTGCAGTTCCTGCCAGGCTGAGAGGCAGCAGGGACAGCAGGAGGGTCAGGATGAGTCTGGTGGGGTTGTATTCCCAGGATTGCTCTGGCTCCAGGGTTTTCCAGCTCAGGGCTGTGTGGAGCAGTGGCCTCAGGCTCTGCAGCACACGGATTTAATTCCAGGCAAAGGCAGTAGTGGTCTGACTGTGTAGGCAGCAATTAGGAATTCAGGCAGCCTGAGGTGAGGCCACTTCAACCTTGACTTCAGAAAAGTCAGATTTGAGCTTTTTTATTGCAGCACTCGAGGAGAATCACAAATATACCCTGAGGGAGCTGCTCTGGCTGGGGCTGAACAGACTTTCTGGGTGTTGTTCTCTCCAAACAGCTGGAGTAGGATGCCAGAGAATCCCAGGATGGTTTGGAAGGGACCTGGAAGATCATCTTGTTCCAACTCCCCTGCCATGGGCAGGGGGATTCCTGGTAGGACTCCCACTGGGAGAGGTCCTGCTGCAAAGTCCTTCCCACCCCAGGAGTCACTGGGAATTGCAAGGGTCAGGGCTGTCTCAAAAATTGGAAATATTCCCTGTATGAGATCATGTTTTAGCAGGGCCTGGAGGGACAGGACACAGGGAATGGCTTCCCACTGCCAGAGGGCAGGGCTAGATGGGATATTGGGAAGGAATTCCTGGCTGGGAGGGTGGTAAGGCCCTGGCCCAGGTTGGGCAGAGAAGCTGTGGCTGCCCCTGGATCCCTGGAAGTGTCCAAGGCCAGGTTGGATGGGGCTTGGAGCAACCTGGGCTGGTGGGAGGTGTCCCTGCCCATGGCAGGGGGTGGGACCATCTGACCCTTAAAGGTCCCTTCCAACCCAAACCATTCCATGATTCTCCCATTCTATGATCTGACAGCAGTGACTGGGATCTGCTCAGCTCTCCCAGCTCACTCAGTTGTCCTCTCCTCTGGGAATTCCATGGATGGAAGCATTCTGCAGAAGCAGGAATGCCCATCAATGAAAGGCCCCTGGAGTTCTGGTGGTAAAGGGAACACACTCAACCATTCCAGCTGAACAAAAAAGCACAAGCACAGGGGAGCAGGACAGGGGTTTGGACTGTGCATTCCAGCTCCGGGATTGTGGGCCCCCTTGGGGTACCCACACTGTTTGATCCCCAATGCACCCATTTCCTGGCCCCTCGGCACCCCAGGGAGGCAGCTTTGTTTCCAGGAGCTGAGGGAGCTGGGCTTGTTGACCCCACAGACTCCCCTCAGCTTTCCAGGTGCTTTCCCAAAAACGCCTCGGAAATGTCGGGCGCAGCTGAGAAATCTCTGTTCCCCAGGAGGTTCCTGCTCTGGAACACGCAGGGCACGGCTTCACACACATGTTGGGAGGGACCAAGGCGCTCCCTGGGCAGGAGGAGCAGGTTCCTGAGGCAGGGAGGTGTCTGGAGCACCCAGAGGACGGACAGGAGGCACAGGCACGTCTCGGAGTGAGCGGAGCCGACGAGCTCCTCCATCCCCCCAGACAACGTGGGGCTGAGGTGATGCCAGAGCTCTGGGTGGGATCTCAGAGGTTCTTCTTCCTCCTGCCCACACAGGGGTGATGAACATCCCAGGTCTCCATGTGTCAATTCCCAAATCCCCGCGGTGCAGGGAGGGAGAGAGGCCCAAGCCCCTCTGAGGGACTGGATGTGTCTGAGCAGCTCTGCATCCACCCCTTTCCCAACTGTTCCCTGCCTGAAATGGAGCCTCTTCTGAGGGATTGAGGAGTCACAAGTGCTGGATTAGGTGGGGGCTCCCACCTCCTAAGGGTCCCTGGGCACCAGGGAAAGAGGGAAAGAGGGATCTCGGGCTGAGGCTGAAAGGCCACAATTTTATGACAGAACCAAGAGTTCACTTTCCCTCACATTGATGGTGTAGAGAAAAGCCGTGGCCTCTGGCAAAGGTTAATCAAAATGTATAATTATATAATGTATAATCCAAGCATTCCCTATAATTAAGAAAGGATGCCTAATGAATCCAGCTCCCAGAAAGTGTCCAAGCACTCAGTGCACCCCTTGCAAGGCAGGATATGGGTATGGTTGTGTTGTCCATAACACCACCCAGTGATGCACATTAAACAGCTGGAAATGCTCTGGAATGACTGAAACATTTGTATTAGTTCTCCCTCTTACTGTATTATCTTAAAATTCTGCTTTATCTAACATTCCTCTGGCGCTAAAGGGTAAAGAAAGGAGAGTTTTGGTTAAATTTCTCAGGGCTGTTTCAGTTGAGATGGCTCAGGAACGTTTATTTTGCTGTAATGACGAGCCCACAGTGTGTTTGTTCCCCAGAGAACAGGCAGATCTGTTCTTTGTCTTTCCCTTAAATGTAGCTGTAAATGAGGGAGCACGCGGGGAACTGCACTCCCTCGGGATGCTCTGCTTTGTCTCAGATTCCATCAGAAGATGTTGTGTCAGGCTCCAGCTTTATTTCCTCCCCGCCCTTCCAGCTCAGGTGTCAACGAGTTTCACCTTGTCCATCACAATTTAAGCTCCTGATAACATCTCCTGGAGGTGTCTGGAACACTTTGGTAGCTCAGCCATCTCCGCAGCCGGGATGAACCCAACAGCCTGGAGTCTGGCTGGCTGCTCCAGAAAACTCCCCGATCGTTATCAGCGTTAAAAATACGGACAATTAGCATCTTACTGCGGGAATTTGGGGGTCGTGAGGACTGTTATCTCACAGACACATTGTTTGAGCCCTTTTTGCCCCCATCCCGCTGCCGCGTCCCCGGCGAGTGTTTGTGCCGGTCCCACTCCCCTCCCAGCAAACGCGAGATATTAATTTGTCACCAGCAGGCAGAGGAGCCCCCGCGGGTGTGATAAACAGCTCGGGAAGATGCTGTCTGTCCGTGTGCCCGCGGAGGGAAGGGATGGAGAGAACAGAACCCCGTGCGAGCAGCAGCTTCTCCCTCCCCAAAATGTGACCGTGCGAAGTCACCTGTTGGCCAGCTGGGTTAAAAAAACTATGTATTGTGGTTTTCCGGAGCCGAACGCGGACTGAGGGGATACAACCGGGGTGGTTGGGGTTATTTCCCTGGCCACAGCCGGGATCCGCGGGATCCACGGGGCAGGATCGCGGTCCCAGCATCTCCCCCGCCCCCAGGGATGAGGGTCCCGGGTTCGCCCAGGGATGAGAGTCTCAGGTTCACCCAGGGATGAGGGGGCCGGGTTCGCCCAGGTTTGTGCAATCGGGGAGGGCTGGAAAAGCGCTGGAAAAGGGAAATTTTAGCACAGCTGCGAGGAAAAACCTGCACGGGGGGAGAGGGAAGGGTTCATCCCGGTGCATCCCGGCCGCCCCCCGCGCCCCTCCGCGGCACCCCGGGACCCGCAGGGAGGGACGGATGGATAAAGGCGGACGGAATAAGGACCCCCAGACCTGTTGCCATGAGAGCACGTTTTACTTGGCAGCCCGCGGGCGGACGGGACGGGCCGGGCGGCTCCGAGGCCTCCGGGATCCCGGGAATCGTCCGTGGGACGGTTTTGAAGGAGGAAAAAGCTCCGAGCCGAGGCGGCGGCGTGTCCGCGGCGGGGCCGGGCGCTGTCCCGGGGCCGGGCGGTCAGTACGGCCCCACCACCACCGCCTCCACCTCCTTGGACGGCCGGCGGTCCTTCACCAGAAAGTTGATCATCCCCTCGGACTTGATGAGCAGGTTGCAGCCGAGGAAGAAGATGCCGAAGACGACGGTGAGGGCGAGGACGCACATGACGGCGATCTGCACGACCCGCATGATGTACAGGCTGCGCTCCTCGGCCGCGCCGCTGCCGTCGGTCACCACGGAGGCGGCGGTGCAGCAGCGCAGCGCCCGCTCCAGCTCCAGCGCCGCGCCCCCGGCCCCCGCCAGCAGCCCCGCAGCCGCCGCCGACGAGCCGTTCGGCCCTCCCGGGAGTCCCCCGGCACCGGGCAGCGCTCCCGGGAGCCCCGCCGGGCCGCTCATCCCGCCCGGCAGCCCCGCCGAGGAGCCGTTCATCCCTGCCGGCATTCCCGAGCCGCTCATCCCTGCCGGCATTCCCGAGCCGCTCATCCCGCCCGGCAGCCCCGCCGCCGCCGCCGCCGCATGCAGGCGGGCCGTGCCGGGCCGGGCTGAGCCGTGCCGAGCCCACCCGAGCCGAGCCGGACCGAGCTGAGCCCACCCGAGCCGAGCCCGAGCGAGCCAAGCCCACCCGAGCCCGCGGAGCCGCCCACCCCGCCCCGGGGAGAGGGAGGGGGAGAGGGAGGGGAGACGGCTCGGGGGACGGGAGGGAGGGTGGGAGTGGGAAAGGGACGGGGAGGGGAGCGGGGAGGCGGGAGAGAGAGGGAGGGGACGAGTTTGGGGGTGGGAGTTAGGAGAAGGGAGGGAGAGGGTTTGCGGGGCTGGAGGGAGGGTTGGGGTGGGAAGGGAGGAGAGGAAGGAGGGAGAGGAGGGGATTTGGGGGGCTGGAGGGAGTATTGGAGTGGGGAGGGAGGGGAGCGGGAGGGAGAGGAGGGGGTTTTGGAGGTGGGAGAAGGGAGGGAGAGGGTTTGCGGGGCTGGAGGGAGGGTTGGGGTGGGGAGAAGGGAGAGCGGGAGGGAGAGGAGGTGGTTTTGGGGGACTGAAGGGAGGATTGGAGTGGGAAAGGGTCGAGAAGGGGGGCAAGAAGAGAGAGGAGAGGGTTTGGAGGCGGGAGGGAGAGGAGGGAGTTTGGGAAGCGGGAAGGGGGGTCGGCGCGGGAAAGGGTCGGAGAGGGGAATGAATTTGGGGGGTGGCTTTGGAGCGGGATGGGGGAATCGGCGCGGGAAAGGGTCAGAGAGGGGAATGAATTTGGGGGGTGGGAGAGGGGGCAGCGTTGGGAAAGGTCGGGGAGGGCGCTGGGTGGGGGAGCGGGTCGGAGGTGCGGGGAAGGCAGCGGGGGGATCCTGGGGAGAAGGAGAACGGGATTTGGGGGGCTTGGAGACCTTGATGGGGCCAAGAGGATCTTGTGAGAGGGTTTGGGGAGTGGTTTTTGAAAGGAGCAGGTTGGAGGGGTGTGGGGAGGGGGATCTGGGGGAGCAGGACTTTTGCCAGTAGGTTTTGTGCAGTAGCAAACGGATTTCGGGGATGCACTTTTCCTAAGGGAGGGAGCTTTGGGAGATGGCTCCGGGGGAATGGGGTTCGGGAGTGTTTTCAGAGGAACAGACTTGCAGATTTTGGGGAAGCAGGATTTCCCAAGCGAGGTTTTAATGGACGAGTTCTGGGCTGCGCGTTTTCAGGGAGTGGATTTGGAGAGCGTTTGAGGGGAAACCTGTTTTGGAGGAGGTTTGTGCAGCGAGGAGGGGCAGTGCCAGTCTCGGGGCTGCCGGAAGAGCCAGCCCAGCCCTCTGGGGACCTGTGGGCTCAGTCGGTTGAACCTCTCCCTCCCCAAAGACCCCTCAGGTCTGTTTTCATTGAAGGTCCAACCACGGGGAGTTTTTCGGAGCCTCCCCGCGTGCCCAGGTGAGGTGGCACCGGGAGCGGTGACACCGGGATGGTGGCAGCTGGTGTGACACTGGGGCTGCACTTGGCCGCGGGGGCACCGGGACCGCGCACCCCTGAGACCCCTGCCCAGCCCTGGGGAGGCACTCGAGCACCCCAGGGACCAAAACGGCTTCCCAGAGGCACCCGAGTGCCTGGGAATTGCTGGGAATTCGTGTCCCCCTCAGCAGTTCTCAGGGAGTGCCCAGCCCTGGTGCCGCTCCTGGGACCGAGTTTCCCATCGGAGGTTTGGAGGTTTGGGGGATAAATGGAAGGTGGCAGCAGCTCCTGACAGCCAGGGCGGTGGTTTGGGAGTGTGTCCTGACACTCCAGCTCCCTGGAATGCCCAGGGATGGGCGGGACAGTCACTCCCGTGCTGGGCTGAGCGATGATTTGGGATATTTCCTGGAAGAGGATGTGGATGTAGGCAGAGCTCGGAGCTGCTGCCCTGGTTAACTCTGCCCCCTCTCTGTCTGAGGGGAGATTCCATTATCCCAAACACACCCGGGAATGCGGGAGGGGGCTGTGAGCAAACCCTGCCGTGGCACAGGGGTGAGATATCTGGGTGGCACCTCGGGCTGTCCAGGGATGGTTCCCCTGGGAATGAACCCTCAGGGAGGCCGAGGCCAGCACGGAGAAATGCTGTTTGATGGAGCCCTTGCAGGGAATTTCCTTTGGTGGCTGTTCCACGTGTGGATGTGGCACCTGGGGACACGGGTTGGTGGTGGCCGTGGCAGCACTGCGGGGTGGTTGGACTCGATGGGCTCAGAGGGCTTTTCCAGCCTAAACCATTCCATGATTCTCTGATTCCATGAACAACACCCATCCAGAGCCTGGATGTATCCCACTCCCATGTCCTGGTCTCGATGCAGCCCATCTCTCTGCCCCCTTTGGGGGTGACAGTCCCCACTTGGCCCCCTCCCCGAGGCCGTGCTGGCCATGCCTCTGCCTCATCCCATCGGACACTTCAGTGGGAACACTTTGTTTTTCCTGCTGGAAAAGAAGACAGTATCAGTTCTAATTAGCAATGGGAGTGCTGGCAGTTATTCCAGCCAGAAGAAAACCTGGAAGAGATGTTGGAACTCCACATGATTCCCGTTGGAAGTGTGTGGTCCCTCTGCCTCCCCGCCAGGAACGTGGGTCAAGGTCTGCCCTCACACCCCTCTCCATCTTCCAGCTGGGAAAATGATTTCCATCCCTAAATTATGTCAGGAAAATGATTCCCATCCCTCAATTATGTCAGGAAGATGGATCCCATCCCTGAGTTGTGGCTGGGAAGCCCTGTGTGTACTTTCAGCCCTGGGAAGCTGAGAACAGGGAGAGCTGGATCCGGGTGCCCTCTCCTGCTCCATGGATCACTTAGCAAGTTTTCCATGGATTAATCATTTGCAATTCCTAAACTGAAAGTGCTTTGGGAATGTTTTCTGACAGGTGAGTCTCACGGATCCCTGAGGCAGCAGCAGTTAGACCCAGCTGAGGGGGCTTTGCAGCCTCTTGGGAGTGGCTGTGTCAAAAAAGTGCCAAAAACGTACCAAAAAGAGAAATTATGGATAACACGATCCCTTTAATATTTAGATTTCATCTTTATTAGTTTTCTGGGATTAGTTTTCTGCTCAGCCTTGGTCTGAGCAGTCCCACCTGGGTGGTTTTCCTCCCTCTCCCCTGGAATTTCACGGCAGGATGGAAACAGGGTGTGATTTAACCTCTTATCATCCCTGTCACTGCTTTGGATGGTTTTGTCCTCGTGGTTTGCAAGCTGGAATTGGATTAGCATTGAAAAGTAAACTGTGTTTCATCCTTCCAGTGAGAAAAGTGGCTGAAAGCTCTGGGGGTAGAGATCTGAGGCAGTGCAGTGTCTGTGGGGACAGAGCCTGTCAAGGGAAGGGAGGGGATCAATCCTCTTCCCTCCTGGTTTGTGGATCATTGGAAGGCACCAAGAAATTTTAGATGATTAAAAGAATATTTTGTGGAGTTATGGGATGGAAAAGAGTGTTCTCATGTGCAGTGTTTTGATGTGGAAAAACCATCTGGGAAAAGAAGGGGGGGAAGCCACAGCAGCACTTTGTGCAAAGGGAGAGATTTGGGGAACAATCCCCTGGAAGTGGCAACAAGGCCCTGACTTGGGGATGGGGCTGGGGGGGCAGTGGAGCCCTGTGATCCCAATGGGATTGGTGTGGAATTGTGGGGCTGGGGGGGCAGTGGAGCCCTGTGATCCCAATGGGATTGGGGTGGAATTGTGGGGCTAGGGGGGCAGTACAGCCCAGTGCTCCAGGTGGGATTGGTGTGGAATTGCCCAGGGATGGCACCACAACCCCGTGTCCCTCACACCAGGAGCTGGGGAGCCGGAGCAGCTCCGGCCATGCAGAGACTCCTTGGGCACCCCCAGGGTCAGGTTTGGGGGCAGCAGGGCTGTGTGTGGGACATGGGCACCCCAAACTCACCTGGGGGAAACCCCGGGGGTTGTGGGTCATTTGGGTCGGGAATGGGGATGAGAATGGGATGGGAATATGGTTGGGGATGGGGATGGGGAGAGGAATGGGATGGGATGGTGTTGAGATAAGAATGGGATGGGCATGGGGATAGGGATGGGATGGGGAAGGAATGAGGATGGGGATAGGGATGGGGGGAGATGGGAATAGGGATGGGATGGGGACAGGGATGGAGATGGGGATGAGATGGGATAGGGGCAAGGATGGGATAGGGATGGGATGGGATGGGATGGGATGGGATGGGATGGGGACAGGGATGGAGATGGGGATGAGACGGGATGGGGGCAAGGATGGGATAGGGATGGGATGGGGACGGGGATCTGTGTTTCAGATCCATTGGTTGGCAGCATGCGGCTTCCAGAACAGAGGTTAAAGCCATTTTTGGGAGTGAGGGAGGGTCAGTCCAAGCTGTGCCTCTGTCCCGAGGGGCTCCAGCTCCCCAAGAGGTACCTGCCCAGCGCCAGGACCAGCACTCGCCCTGCCCACCCCCGCTGTGCCCCGGGGACAGTGCCCGGGGAGGGGACCCCACAGCCGGCTCAGGCAGCCCCGCGGAGCCCCGTGGGGGACACGCCGAGGGGACACCCCTGTCCCTCCCTGTGCCACACATCCCTGTCCCGGCTCTGGGCTCCTGTCCCTCCCTGTCCCGGCAATCCCGATCCCAGCTCTGGGCTCCTGTCCCTCCCTGTCCCACCCATCCCTGTCCCGGCTGTGGGATCCTGTCCCTCCCTGTCCCACCCATCCCTGTCCCGGCTGTGGGATCCTGTCCCTCCCTGTCCCACCCATCCCTGTCCCGGCTGTGGGATCCTGTCCCTCCCTGTCCCACCCATCCCTGTCCCGGCTGTGGGATCCTGTCCCTCCCTGTCCCACCCATCCCTGTCCCGGCTGTGGGATCCTGTCCCTCCCTGTCCCACCCATCCCTGTCCCGGCTGTGGGATCCTGTCCCTCCCTGTCCCACCCATCCCTGTCCCGGCTGTGGGATCCTGTCCCGCCGTGTCCACGCCGTTCCAAGGGATGCGGAGCGGGGCCGGGATTGCCGGGCCAGCAGTGACACCTAGTGACATCTGGGACACC